GGAAAAACTGGGAAAATGATGAGTTTCTAGTGTGTTTTATCCCACACCGAAAAACTCAAGGGATTTTCACCCCCTTATAAAGGGAAGCCTCTTTTAAGGAGTTAAGATTCCTAAAGGGAAGGGCTCTCTCTTACGCGCAGGGGGGGGGGGTGCCGATCAAATCCCGAAACGGAGAAGAAAAACTGCGACTCGTGTGCGCGGGCGACCTGCGGACACGAATGCCGTCCAAAAATCTATCTTTCAAGAGAAACCCTCCATGGGGTCTTCTGTCGCGCACTTTTCCCGTTACAACAATTAATGTCCAACGTTCTTCTCTTTTAATGCTGCGTTAAATGGACAGTTTATGGACGATTCAACGCTCCTAGCACCGTGGGAGGCAACAAATACGTTTTAAGGAAATCTTGCATAGCACGAGCTTTGGCTAATTCTGCTTCATCTCCTTTCTTATTTTTCTCTAGTCATTTTATTTAATTAATTTTCTTTATTTTCCGAAACACACCCAACAGAAAATGCATGACATCATATTTCAAGTCTACAAAAATTGAAATACCTCAAACCTTTAGTACAAGAAATATAAAAACCATACGATGATTCATAAATAAGTTAAAATGGTCATTTTGTCTTTTCAGCATGCAACTTCAAATCACTAAAAGAAATGGAACTAACTAATTGACTCATGTCAGGGTCGTAGCCGGGAGTAAGAGTTGGACTGATCCGGTATAAAGAAATTTTACAGATAAATTTTTACACGTAAATTTTACTTTTAAAAAAAATATAAGCAATTTTAAAATTTGGGCTGGACCGGGCTCGGTTGGCCACCCCACCACCTCCGCCCCTGACTCATGTGTCAGTAGGTTTCTTGGAAATTCGTGATGTTCTATGAAAGATGTACGTATGTGTCACAAATGCTTTTATATTTACAGGTTTGTATTCATCTAAGATCTTTGAATCCATGTTAGGATGGCCTATATGAAACTATGATATCTTATAAAGTTATATACTTAGACAGTTAGATAGAGATTAGAAGAGAGACATACTACAACTTCAACAATCACAGTGTACATTTTAACTTGAGTCGATATAGATTACCTTTTTATACGAAGTATAAAAAAGGTAGGTGTATATTGAAAATACTGAAATCAATTTAGACGTGACATATTTCACGGACTGAGGATTTAAATATGAATTCTGTAACACTATTAGCTAAGCTTTGAATACTCACTCACCAATTAAGCTACTAAAGAGATCTTTTCATTTCAAAAAAATCTATCAGTTCAGAACTATTTACACAAATAAATCTCTCCAAGACCGGTCCACCCTAATTCTAAAGTGGAATTAGTCAAGTCCCAACAGAGTTCCTTTAGACCAATATCTACGCTTCATGAATCTGTTCAAGGGGAGGACAACCAAATGATGGATGTGTTATCAGTACACGAACAAGAAAGTATGTCAAGAATGTATTAAGTGTTCAGAAAGGGATTGCAAAAAAGGAAGCCGAAAGAATGTGACGAAAAAACTAAATTGCGGTAAGTGTTAGTTTTTTTTTTGCGAAACTTGTATGATACATAGTATATAGGTATGGCATTATATTTTTTGTACGTGACAAACACTCATGTTTCTTTTGAGGCTGTGTTTGGAAACTGGCATTTCATCCAAAACATGGTGATTTAAGAATTTTAGGGCCCGTTTACTAACAAGATATTTTCCAGATTTCTGTTTCTGTTTTTTGTTCTCTAGTTTTTATGTTTTCATTTTCCAGTTTTTTTTTTATCTCCAATTTTTTGTTTTCATTTTTTAGGTTTCAATTTTCAAATCTGAAAAACATACAATTTTTTACTTGGTTCTATGACCGACCAAAAGACCGAAGTTACGATCCCAGTCCGGAACAGAACCTAGTACAACCCGAGTAGGGTACTGGGTCCCACGTATAGGAAATTCGGGACCGAAACCGGCCGATCCTAATCAACCTCAACAATTAGTTTGATGAATTCTTTTCTCATTTCCCTATTGGTTGACAACTCAACAGCTCTTTTAAAACTCTTCACTTTAAAAAATGATTTGAAAACTCGAGATTGAACCATCACGTTATTGACCGGCCCAAACAGGGACCATCAGATCGTTTACGGGGTTGGTCCGGAACCGCCCGATTTTCGGTCGAACTGAATACAACCCGTCGATTCATTTGCCAGACAGGATGGGAACCATCTTGTCGTTGATCGGACATGACGGGGATCGCCGGGTGGTTGACCAGACAAGACAGAAACAATTGGGTCATCGACCAGATCAGATAGTGATCGTCGGGTCGTGGACCGGATATGATAGGGGTCGTCAGGTTGTGGATCGGACCGGACAAGGACCGTCGGGTCGTCGACTAGACTAGGATCGTCAAGTCATCGACCGGACAGGACCGAGATTGCTCGGCGGCGACCGGGCCGGACATGGATCGCCGGATCAATGATCAGACCGGACCAGATAGGGACCGTCGGGTCCTTGAACGGACTGGACTGAAATTGACACCGGAGCGGAACCAGATCCAACACTAGACGCAAGTATGCAAATTCATTGCAGTGGCACTACAACATCTACATTTTTCAAATTTGGAAAACTAGTAAAAGTCACTTCTCCAATTCATTAAGGAAAATAGAGACATATCTCAGTTTTCTTGCTTCGGAAAACGATTTGGTAAACGCAACTTTTTGTTTTCCTTTCTCCAGTTTTCCAGCAATTTTTTTGGTAAACATGTTTTTTGTTTTCTTTTTTTCTTGTTTTCCGGTTTTCTGAAAAACTGGAAAGTATCTATGTTATTAAACAGGCCCTTAGCGCTTTCAATAAGCGAAAACATTGATTTATGTTTGTTAAATGATTGTTCGTCCCTAGCGTGTTTGAAAGAAACTCGTGAAAATAGAAACATTGTGAATAGTAGTGTTTTTTGAGTTTAGAGTTTTAAAATATGGCATCACATACTAACCACTACGAGCAAATAACGAAATTATCAAACTTTTTTTTGCAACACGCCAACTCATTCCGTTAGTCAAATTCACTGATTGAAACGACTATTAATAATCTGTCAATATAGAGCCCGTTTGGTGATATCCAAACTGGCTGCAATGATTGATTCTGCTGAAATTTATGAAGTTATGGTTGAAGTGGCTCGATCGACTGATTCTACTAATTTGTGAAAAAAAAATTATATTTTAAATTTATTTTATTAATTAAATAAGGAAAAAATTATATGAAAAATAACTAAAATGATTTTCTACAGTAATTTCAGCCAATAAGCAAGAGAAGTAGCTCCAATCTTACTTTTTCTTATTATTACACAATTCAGCGTATAAAATTAAAAGTTGCGTGTTTGGTGCAAAAGTTGACTTATAAGTCTGATAAACCGAAATTTAGGGTCACCAAACAGGCTCATAATCTATTAACCGCTAATTGTCAAACACACCCAAAAACCCAAATAAAAACTTTTTTTGCTCTATAGTTACGAATGACTTTTCAAAAATGTTGTTGGTATACATACTTTGTAAACATATTGTGTACAACACCCTAGTTGTTTGTCCACACATGCAATTCTTTAAAAAACTGTCTCGTAGACAAATAAGTAAACATGATGTACACAATATGCGTATCAAAAATGCTTGATGTACGCCCAGGGATGGAGCCAGAGCACTGAGTCAGACTGAGCCGGTACAAAGAATATTATTATTGAAAAAATTTTTACACAATTTTTTTTACACTAAAAATATTGGCATTTTTTAAATTTGGGGTGAGTCAGGGCCTAGCCTGGGCACCCCTAGCTCCGCCCCTGGATGTACACACCCTTATACTCACCATGTTTGTGAAGCTTTTCTTTGTCTGTGAACCCAGTTCACAGACAATATTTTGTTTGTGAAAAATATTATTTCTGAATCGATGTTTACAGACAAAAAAAAGATTTCACAAACATGGATGGCTACAAAACTGGACATAATAGTTGATAGAAGCCTCATTTTTTATATGGTAAGTATGGTAGAAAATGGTCGGGTTTTCCTCCCAACCTGCCACGTCGACCATTTGTTACCGGCAAATTATACCGTGCAACCGGCGCACCATGAGGATGGTGCGCCCGGTTGCAAAACGACGTTGCCCTCCCTTTTTTTTTTGCTTTTTTTTGTTAAAAATGATAATAACTTTTTTATTTTTGATCCGATTTTTATAAAATTTATATCAACATTTTTTTTATTTTTCATTATCTTTCAAATGAGACCAATATTGCTAATGTAATTTTAACAAATTATCGAACTATTATATTAATGAGTATTGGATTATAAGGAAAATCGAATCTGTTTGGGAGATGATAGGTTTGTGAAATAGAAGATCGAATCTGTTTGGGAGTGGATCAGTGGCCTCAGTCACATTTGATAATACAATGAGTTACATCTTTTTATGAGCGAGTTACATCTTTTTATAAGCAAGTTACATCTTTTTATAAGCAAGTTACATCTTTTTATAAGCAAGTTACATCTTTTTAAAAGCGAGTTACATATATATTAACACGAGTTGCATTTGACATGCCTGAACGCGACTTACATATATTTACACGTAAAGTTACATATTTTTACACGTAAAATTACATATTTATACACGCGAGTTACATATTTATACACACGAGTTGCATTTGACCTGTCTGAACGCGAGTTACATATTTTTTTACGTAAAGTTACATATTGTTACACGTAGAGATACATATTTATACACACGAGTTGTATTTGGCCTGACTGAACGTGAGTTACATATTTTAACATGTAAAATTACATATTTTACACGCAAATGTTAATATGTTAAAATTACATAGGCAATATTGGTCTCATTTGAAAGATCATGAAAAATAAAAAATGTTGATATAAATTTTATAAAAATCGGATCAAAAATAAAAAAGTTATTAATATTTTTTAAAAATAAAAGGAAAAAAAAAAATATAAAACCGTACCGGTATACGGTGCTCACCGTATACCGGTGTAGGCACTCTTTGTTACCTTACACCCGACCGCACACTACTATTCGTTGCCAGCATCTCTTCCCTTCTTCTGGCAATCGAACGGACCAAATCTTTTATCCATAAAAAACGGCGCACTTTAGCACTAACCACCGCTGCTAAACAGCCGTTACAATTTCCCGAGTACGACTTCTCTCCGAAAAGGACCAGAAAACCGTACTTAGGTTTTCACTCTTGTGTTGTCATGCTAACGTGCACCTTCCGGCGGTGGTGGGGTGACAGAGCTTCTTTTAAGAAAAAAATCTCGTCCGTCAGGTGCCAGAACTTTACTCTGTCCCGGTTTACTTGAGTAACGTAGATTGCTTGTAGATAAGCCGCGCCGCAGTTGCGAATCAGAACAGTACACTATATGATAATTAGAAAACTATGCTCGATATTTTCGGGTTACTTTTAGGATATTTGATTGGAATTACTCCGTGATCTGTGAATAGAATTCTCAAACATTGGCTTATTTGGTCCTGGTAGTCAATAAACAACTTTTCTGTACGTAGCTTCTTTAAAACTGGATTTTTATGGTTTCGAGTTGAACCCCAACTTCTAAACCTCTAGAACATAAAATTTGTATATATGTAAAACAAAGAGTGGCGTTGATGGAAAACAAAGAGACTATGAAGACTGGGGATGGATTCATTGACAGGAGTAAAGTTAGAATTTTGCTGTGTGATAATGATTCGAAGAGCTCTGGGGAGGTTTTCACGCTTTTGTGCAAATGTTCATATCAAGGTATTTGAATCTTCTCCCTTTTGCAGTTCGAGTTAACTTTGTTATACTCCTCAATTGTTTTGCTGTTTTTGTTAATAGATTAACTTTGCATCAGATTTTAATGCTTATGCAAGCCTGCAATGTGTTCTGTGTGCTCTGGACTAGAACTGAGTTTAAATTTTCTAGTAAGCTGTAGGAAGATCATGATTTGTGTGAAAGATTATACATTTGGTGATTGAATGGGTTACTGAAGTTAATATCTTACAGATCATGTATTATTTGGTGTTGATTCCATTTAGTTATGTACTGCTTGCTGGTGATTCTGCAAATTAGATTCTGCAAGTCAGCTAGTGTATTGAGCAGTTAAGGCCATTTTGAATATATTTGGTTGTACGAATTGAGTTGCTCAGAAGTGAGAATCAAAATAGTGGGAATCAGATAAAATTACTTTTGGAATGGAGGGAACTACGCAACTTGTAGGAAGCACGCAAAACCCAAGTGATGTTGGAGGCATGTGATGCCCACAATTACAAGTTGTGGTATAACTTGGGAGTGTCTACACGCCGATCCAAAGGAGACCTTAGTTCTCCATCAATCAACCTTGCCATCTTACTCCAAAAATAAACATTTTTAAACTCCCTGTTCTAGGTCAATAAATTGATGAACACGTGTGTTTTAATAAAGATAAATTTTAGTAGATGAAATAGATGAACCCTCTTTCTTTGATGAACCCTCTTTCTTTGTACGGATGAAATAGATTTTTAGTAGATTCTTTTTCCCGAGCCTGAGTGAGTTTTAATTTGCAGTGACTTGTGTTAGATCGCCCAGACAGGTCATTGATGCATTAAATGCAGCAGCACCTGATATTGATATTATTCTGTGTGAAGTTGACCTTCCCATGTCCAAAGGTATGAAGTTGATGAAATACATTATGAGGGATAAAGAATTAAGGCGAATTCCAGTCATTAGTAAGTCAAATTCATCATATTTCCCCTTATTAAATCAACTTTTAAATCAAGAGTTAAAATAAAAGATCCATTCTTTTCATGCAGTGATGTCATCTCAAGATGAGGTATCTGTTGTTGTGAAATGCTTAAGATTGGGGGCTGCTGATTACCTTGTGAAGCCTCTCCGCACTAATGAACTATTGAACTTGTGGACTCATATGTGGAGAAGGAGGCGAATGGTACTCACAGTTATACATTTTATTCTTCCTTTCCATCTTTGTATTAGGGTTGATTTGGTTCTCAAAACGTTTTAGGAAAAAAATATAGAGATGAAATTTGGAAAAAGTTGAGGGAAAATAAGAAGTTGCTTCAAACTCAATATATCAATTTTAAATATTTTTTCAGTCATTTTATCTAAATATATCTATTATGTAAAGACTAAGAAATCTCATTATTGGTAATATTTTGAAATGTTTTAACTGAATTTTATCTCGTATTTTCAAGCTATACAAAACATCATAAAAGCAATTTTCCTTTGTATGTTTTTCCTTTCATACAATTTTCCAAGTTCTAGACATAGCCTTAACAATTGAAGAAAGATTTGGGTAACCAAAAACTAGTTAGCATTATACTGCTACTGTGCTACAATATGTATAAAGGTTGTAGAATAACCATTTATTATGTGTCTCTTCGTTTATTGACAGCTTGGACTAGTGGAGAAGAACATGATAAATTATGACTTTGATTTGGTAATATCAGACCCAAGTGATGCTAGTACAAACAGCACTGCACTCTTCTCAGATGACACGGATGAAAAGTCATGTAAAAGCAATAATCCGGTAACTAGTCAATACTCACAACAGGAAGATGAGGTGAGCCACTAGAACTATCCAGGACTCCAGGTTCTGTTTTTGTTCTTACTTAATAAGGAATGCTTTGAGCCTTCATTTTCATGAAATAAACAGAAAGTCAGAGTCTATGCTAATACGGAATGCTTCTAGCTTCCATTTTCCACTTCAATAAATTGACAAAAAAGCTTGACTAACATTTCAATGATGCTATCCAAATATATTAGTTGGGTTTCAGCAGTTCTCTATGTTATCCAAAGTTCCAAAGCGCATACATCAGTGATCCATCAATGACTTTCCAAAACTGACCAAGTTCCAAGCACATAGATGAGTGATCCATCAATGACTTTCCAAAACTAACCATGTTCCAAGCGCATAGATGAGTGATCCATCAATGACTTACCAAAACTGACAAACCATCATTCCTCTTCACCACATGCTCTTCGGTTTCCCGTCAGTTTATGTGGGTTAAGGTGTTAGTTGCTGAAACATGGAAGCCATTTAGGGCATGTTTGGATCTCAGAAAATGATATGGAAAAGATTTCAATTGTTAAGGAAAGTTATTTCTTATTTTTGGTTTTACCTTGGAACCCAAGAAGGAACACATGCTTAGTTTTTAAAAAGGTTACATACTTATAGATTTGATAGTGATTATTTGCTCTCTGACCCGAGCTTTGTGCACCGGTTGAAGTGTTGATGTGTGACCGAGAGACTTGTCCATTTTACACCCTTGTGGTGGGACCCTTCCTTGGACCCTCGCTTTGTGGGGATGCCTTCGTGCACCGAGTTTCCCATTTCTATAATGATTATAACAACATCTAAGCCTTGGTCCCAAAAGAGTTTGAAGACGGCTATCATGAATCGCCACATGAAATCGGAGCTAAAAAAATAAGATAAGAAAAAAAGATAAAAATGATAGGATAAAGATAAGATAAAGATACAAATGATAAGATAAAAATGATTAAAAATAAGATAAAAAGGATAAAAGAACATAAGAAAGATAAAGAAGATAAAAGGATAAACGGATTAAAAAGATGAAAAAAAGGTCTCCCAAATCTCTAAACTAATAAATAAAATGCGTATGAACAAATGTCTAAAATATTTTTTATGAGTTTGAATGGATTTTTTCACTTCCCTCCCAAATACTCTTTCTTTCCAATTATACTTCTAGTTTTTATCCGTATTTTATTTCCCTAGTATTTTCCAGTTTCTTAATGAACCTCAGTCAATTTTCAAAGAAGGTGCGTTTTCATACAACATTACCCAGTGCCGCAAAGGCTCCCCACCTATGGTGGGGTAAGGGGTCGGATGTACACAAAGAAACTGTTTCCAGATGGCCCAAGATGAAAATCGCGGCAAAAATTACATGGACTGACCGATGCTTCATAACAAAGAAGCGCACACAGATTAGTGATCCAGTTTCTTGAGAACAATTCCTTTCTGATGATAGGAGCCATTTTCATGAGAATAATTCCCTTCTGATGATAATGGTTATAGTGGTATCAGATGGTTATTTCTCATCTCAAACATAAATATTTCTCATGTTAATCATAAATAAGTCATTTCCTTTCAAATTTTCCATGAGGTACTATATATATATATATATATATATATATTAATTTGCACGATTTGTTGGTGTGTACACTTACTTTTCTCCTTAAAAATGTTTCAGGCCAATGCCACAACAAGTGCTGCATACCGGGAGACTGCAGTTTTGGGTTCATTTGAGTGTCTACCAGTAAGTAGCCATCAGAAGACAGGTGAGTGATTCTCTACTTAAATATAGAAACAGTCTACTGGTTTATTCACTTTATTGTTAAAAAAGATGTTGTCTGTGTATATACTGTATGGTGTGATTAACGGGTGAGTGTTGTACCTGCAACCTCTTAACCAAATTGGAGAGGTTTGCCACATGATCACAAGGTCTTTGCAAAGTACTTGCCCTCTGTCAAATGCTGTATCTTATAGCAAGTCGAATAGCTAATCATAAAGTTATCAATCCCCCACTGATAGGAATGCAGACAATAATACTAATTAGAATAATAGAATAGTATTAAAGAGTGTAATAGGGTATAAATGAAGATTTTGGGCCATTTAGTAAATCAGGAATAATGGGCCTATTATTGTAGATAATAATAAGTGGGCTTGTACTATAAATAGAAAGGGGAGGGTAGGCAAATAGGAGGCAAGTATTCTGTCTGTATCGTCTTCCTCTTTTCTGCAATTCAGTCCAATAATAGTGACTATTTTACTGTTACGAGATCAGAGTACCTATCAATGGTATCAGAGCATCAACTATCGCTGGAGACTGTTAAGCGTGCGCAGATGAACTTGGCAAGGGAAAAAGTTGCGACGAACTTGGCGATGGAAAAAGTTGCGATAAGAGAAGAAATGGAGCGTAGCAGGGTAGCAAATGAGGAAGCGTTGCTACAGATGAAAACAATGGCGGAAAACCTCAACAGAAAGCTAGCTGCGATGGAAGAACAATTCCAGACTAGACGACGATCGCAGTTGCCTAGAACGTCCCTCACTTCGCAGAAGTCTTCGCCAACAACATCCTTCAGTTCGCATATGCGAACTATTTCTCCCAGATTGTCGCAAACTGCGCAGGTTTCATCTAAATCGCGAGAAACTCCTTTTTCCAGTTCTCAGGTGTCTTCTCTCAGTCCGCATATTATGTCGCAAGTAGATGGTCCTGGTTCACAGTCGCACAGTCCAGTACATTCCAGAGGTAATTCCGTTCATTCTAATGTCAACTATCATCGTCATACTGATGAACATACTAGATTACCTGAATGCACCGGCAGAAAAATAGATTTACCATTGTTTAACGGCGAGGGAGCATATAACTGGATTATACAAATGGAGAAGTATTTTCGGTTAAATGACATTGAAGAAGAAGAGAAGGTTGAAGCTTCTAGGGTTGCTATGGAAGATAGGGTTTTGAACTGGTTTCATTCGTGGGAGTACCGGACTGAAGAAACTAACTGGGACACTCTGAAGAAATCTATCATTCGTAGATTTCAACCTGAGTTGATTTCTTCATCCGCCAGCAGTTCACGACCAAGTAAAACTCTATCGAGAGAGGCTTCCCGTTCGCAGATGTCATCCCAAACCGCTTCAGCGCCTTCGCGAACAGTTTTGCTTAATTCGCAGGCCTCATCTCTTGCGCAGTCGCGAACAGTGTCTACCAGTTCGCAGGTCCCAGTTCACAGAGCTCAGTGCGCGACTCATCTCAGTTCGCGGGACTCACCGCAGGTTTCTTTGCATATTTCTGCTTTGCACAGTCCGCAAGTGGAGTCAGTTTCATTCCCGCAGCAGTCGGTGAGTCAGCTACAACCTAACTCTGAAGATACACTCATCATTAGTGATGAGGAACGAGGGGAGAAAACTTCTGTGGTGATTCAGTCCATTGCCATGGAAACTGAGAAAATAGAAGAGGATAAATCAAAGTCTGAGAAAAAGGACAAAATTGAAATACAAAACCAAATTAGATCCTCTGCGGGGTTTGTTAGTTTGAGCTATGATCAAGGTTATTATTCTGAGCATCTGAAAGTTGCTGACAAGGTTGTTGTTGAAAAGCGACTGCACCGTTCTCCTGTCACCAAAGAAGAATGTGAGGCCCATGGGTGTCCTGGGGTGGATTATAAACACTTATTTGGTGGGGTGGTGATGTACTGGAATCCTTCTGAAATGTCTGGGACCAGTTTTTTGTGCCCTCCTTCACTTCGTTCAGATGATAGTTCTTGGGCATGGCGAGTGGCAGATATGAACAAGGTTGTGGATGACAGGGTTGACCTTGTTTCCTCTCACAATATTTCTTTTTGCTCTTCCTTTGATCTTTTTGGCTCAGAAATTAGTGAATATGTTATATCTGGAAGTAAAGCTCATACTGGCAAGGTTGCACAGACAACTTGTGTGCAGGAGCATCCAGATATTTCATTTCTGATACAACCATTTGAAATGCTGAACAGTCCTTCAGAAAAAGAATCTCTTAGTTGGATCCACATCAATCCTCATGAAGAAGTCAACGCATTCTATAAACAGTTTGCTGTCTCTGGTTTCTCATCTGAGTTGAAGGTCACGTGCCCCAAATTGTCACTTATGTTGGCTATATCTGCGGTAAAGAACTTGGAGAGCAGTAGTACTAGTGCAGCAACAACAGCTCTAGATTCTTCTACTAAATCTTTGGGTGTTCATCAAAGCACTGTGAAACCGGAAGGAGGAACTTCATATGTAAGTGGGGAACAACTTGCTTTGTGCCTAACCAGAGATGGGCACATGATTTTAAAGAATATCAGCACTGGCAGTTTGATCAATTCGCAGCCAGCGCATCCAGAGAAGGATATTGAAAGGAAAGATCAAACAACACAATCTGGTCATGAGGAACAAAACAATTACAACAATCAGTGTGTTCCCCAGGCAATGAAGCTCATGGCCCCGAAATTTGGGAGGTACTGGGAAGGGAGAGGCGCGAGGATGAAAATCAAGTTCAAGATCAAGGCTCTTTCCCATCACCCACCTTGAGGACAAGGTGGATTTTTAAGGGGGGAGTATTGATAGGAATGCAGACAATAATACTAGTTAGAATAATAGAATAGTATTAAAGAGTGTAATAGGGTATAAGTGAAGATTTTGGGCCATTTAGTAAATCAGGAATAATGGGCCTATTATTGTAGATAATAATAAGTGGGCTTGTACTATAAATAGAAAGGGGAGGGTAGGCAAATAGGAGGCAAGTATTCTGTTGAGAATAAGCTGGGAGAGTTGAGGCCTCTCGAAGTGCCCTGTCTGTATCGTCTTCCTCTTTTCTGCAATTCAGTCCAATAATAGTGACTATTTTACTGTTACGAGATCAGAGTACCTATCACCCACCCACTTTGTTAGGGATGCGTTTGTGTTACTTCATGTTCTGTAGTGTATTGAGGTTGTGATTTTTCTTTAGTTGTTGCTTTTCTATTATAAAGGTCCAAATTTGAAATCACATTATCATGTTAGTTGACTTGGATAATTTTGGTAATGTGTTTTTTGGTTTTGTTTTCACCTTTTAAACAGAGAAAAATAAAATGTGTTTTCCTTATATTCTTTTTGTTACCAATTTCTGAAAAGAAAAACAGTAAATTGTTTCAATTCCGTTTCCAATTTTGGCTCTATTTATAATTTATTTAGAATTCCTTACTGTTGTATCACGAATAAATTTAAGATTCTTCTTACAACATCCAAGCCTTAGTCTCAAAAGAATTTGGGGTCGGCTACGATATACGTAGTACCCCCGTCCCTTAAAACTTTGCCAACTTTCCTTTTTTGGATGTCCCATTAACTTTGTTATTTTCCCTTTTCAGTAAAGAATTTATGGTTCTAGTTAATTCTCTTTCCTCCGTACAAACATCAACCACACAGTTTTTACTTTCTTAATCCCCGTGCCGGTCAAACTTGACAAAGTTTTAAGGGACGGAGGTAGTATTATTTACTTTGTAATCCTTTTTGGAGAGGTTTTTTATTGTTTGCCCCTTTTCTTAACTTGACACATTTACCTCTACTTTTATCCTTTACATAAATTCCCCTTTTTTCATCTTTTCTTCTTACTTTTTCTACTTTTAAATCATCTCTACCCTACTATTCGCTATCCTCTACAGTGCGAGTGGAGTATATACGTACTAAAAAGTTGAAACCAAAACTATTGCAAATGGAACTTATGAAAACATAAAACTGGAAAAGTGAGCAAATGAACCCTAAAATTTTCAATCTGAATTTTGTTTCTAAACAAAGCTGGAATAAAAATGACAATCATCATAGCAGAAGTAATAGGGATGTTATTTTACTCCTAGTGGACATGAATATCATGCCTCTAGTGAGTTCTACCTAATCACATTTATCACATCATAATGTTTTTTTATTTCCAGTGAGGCATAAATATCTTTCTGTAATCTGCCACACTACTACACTAGGATGACTAATTATCTATATTGAATTTCCCTTTCCAGGAAAGTTTTGTTCAATTCCAAAAAAGAGTGAATTGAAAATAGGCGGACCTTCTGCGTTCTTTACATATGTCAAGTCAAACCCTAACCAATGTGCTGTCCCTGAAAATACGTCTCATCAGCATCATCATCCAAGTATGGATAAAAATCTAAACAGTGCATTGGGTGGGAATGTTGAGGAGACCAAACAACAAACCGTAGCTGTCGATTATTATTCACAAGGAGATGACTATCCAAGGAGCAGTAACAGCATTCCAGTTTCTCTCTCTATGGAAACAGATGATTTCTCTAAGACAGTGCATATGCATCAACCATACGACTCACAAAATGAGATGTTGGGTTTGCATACCCACACCGCTTGTCCTCAACCATATTACATCCCGGGAATGATGAATCATGTGGTGATGCCTGGAATGGGTCCATACACCTATTATCAAGTGAACATGTGTTTGCAACAATGGCCATCACCATCATCATATGGAAGCTCCTTAACGGTTGAAGGTGGTAAGGTGGGTAAAATAATGAATCGTAGAGAGGCTGCCTTGATGAAGTTCAGAGAGAAGAAGAAGGCACGTTGCTTTGACAAGAAGATTCGATATGTGAACCGCAAGCAACTGGCAGATCGGAGGCCTAGGGTGCGTGGGCAGTTTGTTAGGAAGCCCAATGGGGTTTTAGTGGATCTTAATGGACACCCTCCTCCCTCTGGAGATGATGATGATGACGATGAAGAGGAAGATGAAGATGGCGATGATGAAATTATTGAAGAGTAAACGACTACTTAGGAGTTAGGACTCTTCTCCCGAATAGGGATTCTCAACTGGAAGGGGTTTCATGCAATGATCAACTTGGGAATGATCAGAGCTGTGCTCATTTTGAGCTAGGAATTCATAGCTCCATGCTTTGTTCTATATGTAAAAGTGGGTAAATCTATTTTGGTTCAAGACAAAAAACAGAAACTGAAATTTAGACAATCTTGAACGTGTAACAAATTGTTTTTATTTGACAGACAATTGATAAAACAGTCATATCACATTTGGTACAAGGCCTACTAGGAATTACATAGAAAACGAAAAGCACAATGAAGTGTGACCAAAGGGCAGCCCAGTGCATGTTGACGCTCTGCAAGGCCAGGAATAAGGATCCTCTGCTATATATGACAGAATGCTTTGCGGGGAATTGGGATCAGAAGAAAATGGAGATGCCTTGAGATCGGTGAAAAAAGCTGATCCATATATCTGGGACCGTTCACGTTTCTGATAGGAGGGCCTACATTGGTTGATACTTTGTTGCCAAAGCTAGGTAGATATGTCAAATCTAGTGTTGGACCGGTACCGGGCTGACCGGCCCGTGAACCGGACCGGCCCGCTACTGTGCGGGCCCGGCCCGGGAGTCGGGTACCGGTTCTGGGCCTAGGACCGGCCCGGGGAGTTAGGGCGGGGCGGTTCCCGGCTGCCCTTCCTTTGGAACCGGCCCGGTTCGGGCCTTTTTTTATTTTTTTGTTTTTTCAATTTTTTTTTTTGTTTTCCCTAGATGGGCTGGGTGTTTGGGGGGTCGGGGGGGTCGGGGGTTAATTAGAAAAGCAAAAAAAATTGTATTTAGATGGGAGGTGGCGGCAAGGGTTATTGGGGTAGGTGGGCAGCGGCAGCAGGGGTAACAGGTGGGTGGATTCATCTCATTTTCATTGATTTTGAAAACTGAAACTGGCCAAATTGTTTTGCCACTCACCGGAACAACAATATAGTTACCATGTCGGTGGGGTAACCAACCCGAGGCGCCGGGATTTCCAGTTGTGAGTTACTGGGTTCAATAGTGAAGATAGGTCGCTAACCGGATTGAAGGTGGTTACTGCCAGCGGTGGTGATTGATCACTGAACCATCATTGATCATTGCGAGACACTGTCACTAATAATGATGTGTTTAATTGGTCCGAAATATTCTGGTCTGGTCTATAAATGTATGCTTTATGTGTATTTTGTGACAGTTAAAATTTGGTCTCATCTGATTTGTTCTAATCTGATTTGTTCTATTTAGGTCTGATCTAATGTGATATATTAATATCTAGTTTGAGATTAAAATCAATTTAAATAAAAACATCCTTAAAATCATAAAGAAAGAAAACTTTGGCCAAAATTAAATCTTTCATATTAATAAGTGTTGCTAGACACCAGAAATCATATACTTTGGAATTTTATTGCTGAGAAAAATGAAATGAAAAAATTTAAGTATATGTAAACAAACACCGAACGAAGTTAAAGGCAATCATTATAAAAATAGATATAACACAAAGATAAAAAGACCGCTACATATTTTTCAGATGTTTTGAACATAAATTAAAATTTAGTATTCTAATTTTTTCATTCAATTTAAACTTATATTGAATATAGAATAGTAAATTTTACTAAAATTGTACTATTTAAATTGCAAATGAATTTGAGTAAGTTCACATCAGTCCCTATATCTTACCACCGTACATCCGGTCCAATTAAGGAAACAAGAGGCCCATCAGCTACTATAGCCCATAACCAACAAGTCCATTTTTTGAGGCGGTGACATTTTCGCAATTTAAGAGAAAAATCATGTTTTTCGGTAAATGAACATTAGTGTAGTTTTAGTGAGCATCAAACATATTTTATTGAGTATTATGAGCATAACGATGAACATCACCATCTTCGCTTCATATCTTCTAATTCATTTTTTTCTTTTATAAAACTTATTAAATTATATGTATAAACATATTCTATGAATTTCAATATGCGAATTTAATGTGATAAGATACTTTTAAAATATGCATTAATATTACATTTTACAAATGTGCATAACATCAGTACCAAATGAGCATATGTAACTTACAAAATGTGCACTAATATGAAAATCGTAAAGTTTGTTAGTTGAACGTCACAAAATTTTCATTGAGCATCAAACTTCTTTTGTTGAGATGAAAATCACGGTTTCTGTCAAATGAGCATTTATGAACTTTTACTGAGCATTACACTTATTCTGTTGAGTATTAGGAGTATAACATTGAGCATCATTATACTTTTGAATTGTGAATTTATATGGCATTTTAAAATGAGAATAATGTAAGTGCCAAATGCGCATACATAATTATAAAATGAGTATCAAAAAATTCAAAAGGTCATTTGATATCGTTAATGTGCTTGAATCCTCATTTGTTTATGCTCATTTCGTTTAAGCGTTATGCTCATTTGGTATATGAGAGCGATGCTGCAAGGCTGGATTGATCTGTCAGGTCAATATCACCAGAATCTAATCTATACACATCATTAACATTGTCATCTAGAATCTCTGCAGCACCGTCGACGGAAGAACGGCGACGAGCCAGAGACGCCTGAATTTTGACGGACTGGAGCGTTGGCGATTGAGCAACCCAAGTGAGACTCCAACAAATCAGGTTGCAGCAAGATAGAATCTGCTCCTGGTCAAACTGCATCAATTAAAAAACTCTTCGCGTCACGATAATGGTGACGGTGAAGCTCGAATCGATGAAGGCTGGTGAAGGTCAAGCGGCGATGTCAATGGTGAAGGGGTTGTGTTGGAATAAAAATCCGATAATACTTTAATCTTCATATTGTAATTATCTAGAGAAATAACTTGAGCGGAAGCGTACCTGACTCCATTGGAGATAATCTTTAGAGATCCGGGAGACGGAGGTTAGGGTTTATGTCTTCTAGTTGATACACACCCTCGGGATTATCTCTCTAGCGATGGGATGCAGAAAGACAGAGTGACGTATTCAACTAGGAACCATAACCCCTTACTTATAGAGAGTGCTTAACCCTGATCAGCCCATCATTGATTAGATCGAGTCCATGGGTCTCTACACATTTGGGCCCTATACCTTATTAGATAACTTATTAGCCCACTTAAAT